GTCCGGCTAAATGAAGAAGAACAGATGCAGAGCACGGCAGTGGTGTTCCTCTAAACTCACAGGAAGACAGACTTCGTTAAGGACTAGTTACTGTCACTCTGTTCTGTCCCTCACTATAAGGCAGAGAGCAGCTAGGGCTATCACCTTTTGACCAGTTGTCCTGTTGACCTCTCAGTAAAGTAAGTTAGTAACATTATGTATTATGCGAACATCATTCAAATGTGATTTTTGGGAAATGTGACAGCCCCAAAAGCAGCTGATGATAATTAATTAGCCTTAAACCCGTTCAGCCCTCAGACAGTAATGTCACACAATCCCTGAGAGCTGGGCCATGGATTCATTCATGTAAACCACCTGTAAATTAAAGGAAATCATTTCATGTGGCATTCCTTTCATGTGCCACAGAAACAGTCCAAAGTCAAAATTAAATAAATGCTGTTGAAACGGAACATTTAGTTGATAATCAAAGGAGAAAAAAATTGTGTTCTGAGCTCATGACTTACTACGTAGAAAGGTGGAAATGATTTTGTATCCTTATTTTGAACTTAATTTTGTTTAACATGTGCTCATATTTCATAAAGCATGTACTTGTCAAAGCTTGTTCGGAAAGTGTCAAACTTACTTTGCCAAATTGCCATAATTAGTTCATTGCAGATGACTGAAATAACTTAATTAATTTATGGGCTTGAGATGCATGTAGCTTGGTCAAGCTTTCACTAAAAGTGGAAAAACACAGGCTGCATAGCTTACTAAAGCAGACAATTTAAGGCCCCAGCTGTGAATGGCAATCTAATGGATTCCAAAAGCACACGTATTGACTCTGACCAGTGTGTGAAAGTCGAAATGCTGGAGGGATGGAAACATACCAAGAGGCAACACACACCACCAATTAAACTGCTATGAGAATAACAACTCTCTTATCAGATGTAAAATTTGTTTCATGTTTCTGACCTTTCACCATCCAATCATAGTAATTTCTCACAGAACTGTAGATCAAAAGTGGGGATATTGTTATCTATTAGATAACACAGAAAACTTGAATGAATAGCAGGCTCCTGTTTCTGCAAATGAGGTCCTCACCCTTGCCTTAAGCGCCTTCATTTTATTACCTCTGCCAAGAGCAAGGGTTGCGTTTTTGCCGGCGTTTAACCAAAAACGTAATGAATAGATTTGGATTCAATTTTTTGGAGGGGTAGAGTATGGCCTACAGAACACAACAACAGCTGTGCAAGAGCCTGATGGCAGAGATTTTGAGCCAGGTTTAAAGTTTTTTAATTTCCCCGTATTGCTACAAAGGGTGGGGGGAAACTCTCACAGTGACACCAGAAGCCTGATCCATCAGGAAAAGATTTCCAACACATAAACAAGATAACAGGTGAGCTACCTGATTTATGCAGCTATCTGGGGAGATTACACTTCAGGGTCTCCGCTGCTAACATTCCTCAGTGGCGCCCCACCACACCAAAATCTACGCCAACATGGCAAAAAAATGATCCCAATCAATCAATCAATCAATCAATCATGTAATCAAGGGCCTGTGTGACTTGCTCACGAAGCCCGTAAAAGCAACATACACAGGTGCGTTTAAGGCCAATTCAGATGGAGCACATTTTTAGATGAATTTTTCATGCAACAGACAGAACTCCATTCTATGAAATGGCCTAGCTATAAATGGAATTACAGGCACTATACATGTAAGCCCGATAATGTGTGGGCTATTTCAAAGATAATTACAAATAATAATATCCAATAAAAAAAAGAAGACACTAGGCTCTGTCTCCGCTGCAACAATAAATCAGCACTAACCTCAAATGAGCTGAAAAACTGCACCTTGGTTGAACCTAACTGCCAGCCTCTGTTCCAGGTATGCTGGCTGTCAACAATGCCCCGTGGTGCTCTGTTAAAACTGTGGAAATGTTTCATAACACACAGCATTGCAAACAAGTGGGGCATGCAAGAAAACAAATAAATAGCAGCTAGCAAGTGCATTGAGCAGCACCATTCTACCCATCTCACAAACAGATCCATAAAACACAGCCACAAAATTCACAAACAGGCATAGGAGCACACGTTGAATCTGCACCCAGTAATACACTAGCATTGCACCTCCACCAAGTGCAACACAAAAACACAGCCATAAAGCCTCACTAGTGCCACTAAAAATAGAAATCTGGCATTTGTGTGAGAATTGAAATCCAGAATAGTCACACTTTGCACATCTGTAAGACTTTACCTGGAGGCCACTCATCTGCTAACTGAACCCTCTTCTTGCTCGAGAACAGGTCTGTGACTTGAACTAGTCCGGTCGGGGCTGAACTGCTGCTCCCTCCTCTCTTTTAATGTGCTCTATTAAAAGCCAATTAATAAAATGCTGTCATATGTGGATGATTTGTTAAAAGTAACATCAAAAGAAAGCATTTAAGATAACTGAAGCCATCACCTGTCGGTAGCAAGTCAACTTTAGTCATACATTTCAGTAGAAAGGTGTATATATGCATGATGCTATTTAAGGCCCAGTTAGGGCTGAGCAATATTGTAATCACATTATATATTGTCTTTTGGGTGAAACAGTATCATAATAGTGAAACTGTGTCATCTGTGTCATCATTTTAGCAGTTCCTGTTGTTCAAATTAATGATTCCAGGGAGACTTTAGCTGACAACTAACAAAATATGTTCTTGGAAATTTGTTTTACATGTCTGGAAACCTCTCTCCAAAGTAATGCATAACTTCATCAATTACTCCTTAACCTGGACCTGGAGAAGTGGTGGGAAACTAATTGACTAATTCAAGAATAACATTGGATTTCTAGCTGATCTGCAGTAGACTGCTGTTCTAATTGGATCTTAATTATATTGGGCATATTTAAATTGATTATTCCATCCATTTCAACTGCCATCCAGGTCATATTAAATAAAATCTATTTACTTCTAATATTGCTGTCTACAGCAGGACAAAAAAGTGTTAAGGACCCTTGTGGATGACATTTAAAACTTTTTTTTTGGTACTTTAAAAACTTTCTTCTTCTTCTTTTCAGAGGGAACTGAAATCAGAGCTTTTAGACTTTTAGTTAAAGACTACAGATGACCTATTTTAGCTAGCTAGTTAACAATAACTTTTAAATTCTGCCAAAAATATTTGGTTGCACTGTCACACGGTATGTAACAGTGGGACTAACATTACTGACGCCTGCAGGTGGCCATAATGTTACTTTGCTGGAAAATCAACACAACACACCCCCACCTCCATGATGAACAGTAGGTAGTATAATTATTATCCTTACTACTTAAATAATATGATAGTCTGGGTGGTTTTGATTATTTTCAGAATGGTTAAACTAGTCATTGCTGATGGGCCTACACAAAAAGATGTAAAAATTCATTCTTGTCTGAATTTGATAAAATTATCCAGCCCAAGGTCGATTTACTAGCTTTTCTGGAGCTTTCAGTAAATTTATTCTTAATGTGATCATCTTAATGCCCAATCCCAATGTCTGGCTTTCAAAAACTCCTTGGAATAAAAATCTCTGTTAGAAATGGATATACAATACAGTACTTTGTTGAATTTCACCCAATTCATAACTACATACGGCCAATTCAGCATTCACAGTACTGAGCTGTCAAACTTTAAGTGTTCCTTTGAGGCAGGTGTTTCACTTGGCACCAAACACTGTGTGAACTTGAATTGCCAAGTGGCAGATAACCTTATGAACATGAAATTGATTCTGTAGAGCAAATATATCTGACTTAAAACAAGACAGAGCCAGCAAAGCAGTTTGTGTTTATGGATGCAGTACTTACTCATTTTAGGATCAACGCAAAGTACTTGGGTTTACAGAAATGCTAGCATCAGCTGGCACCGGTGTAACACTTACAGGTAGCTACACTGCATTTGCCAATAACGTTCTTGCTGAAACAAGAAAAGTATAAATAAATAATGAAAAGACACACTCAAATATGAAATATAACCTACCTTCGGAAAAGAGAAAATACCTCTTTTTGGTTGTTATTGTTCATTTGTAGTAGGCAAGATTATCAATGATACTCAAACCATTAGGTTTTGTGCAAATAATGTACAGCTGTGGACAGAAACCTTTGGTGATCGGCTATCTCCTCTCTCTGTTTGTGATTATGAGCATTCTTTGCCTCAGAATTAAATTCACCACAGCATCGTTGCGCCTCACATCAGCTAGTTATTTCAAATGATAATCAAACAGGATTTTTACCATCATGCTATAAATAATGACAGCAAAACCTGTGGGTGCCACGAGTGGAGCCAAAAATATGCTCAACTGAACCACAAGGTGGAGCCAAAGGTGAGCTCATGTGCTTCTCCATCCATCCAGCTCCCTCTCTCTCTCTCTCTAAATCTTATTAAAACATCCCGTTCAGTCATTCCTTTGTTTCCTTTAAAGAAAACCCAACGAGCATAAGTCCGAACCCCAACTCTGTAAAGAGTGTTAAATCCACACTTAACCACACGCAATCGACCATCTCCTTAACAAATGTACACTTAATCCGTATCCCTCCACTTAAATGCCCTATCACTGTAAGGCGTCCTATCATCCTTCACGACTGAGACGTCCTCGCCCTCTGCCTCCTACCAGTGACTGCTTGGAGAGTCTTTACTGAGACTCGCAGCCGCGCTCTCCGCGCACTGCCGCACAGGGACACCTTCCATTCGGCCCAGTATGCAACAACAGGCTCCAGCAAGAGTTTCCCAGCGCCAGCACAGAACCAGCTACCTTTCGGTAGCCTACAGAAAGAAGTCTGAACCATATATGAAGTCAGAATCATACAGGTTAAAGTGTAATTTCATTAGAGACCATATGATGCATGATCAACGCCTCAACTTCTGCTGCGTAAAGAAAAATAGGTTTATTCATGTCATTATCGCGACTGTATCTTTTTCAAATTCACAGTTAAAGCCCTTCACGCACGTTTACTCGTTCTCGCTTTAACGCACTGCACATTTCGACTTTAAAAACTCAGTTTCTTTACCTGGTTGTCGCTGCGCTGCTCCTTGTTGGGGTTTAAAATATATTCTCTCTTAGTTTGGCAAAGGTTTCGTGTGTGTCCACTGCCTGCAGAAATACGTCGTCTTGCGAGAAAACCGTAATTGCAGTGTAACTGAGTTTCTCCCAGTATAGTTCCGCGCCTCCCTCCGCCACCGAGACTCTCAGAGAAGATAGATGGGCAGATCAAATGCGTTACCGATCAGATTAACAGCTGTACGGATAAGTCTGATCTTTAAATGTCCAGATCATTTCCTGTTTTACGGGGCATTAATGTGCCCGACGAATTAAAAACAACCACATTCCAAACAGTTGGGGAAAATGTCTCTCCTCACTTTATCCCCCGAAGAAAACCAGTCCCTTTCAAGCCGGCGGAGAGTTTTATTTTTCACTCTTAGTCTTCAACCCAGTTGCCTTAATATCTGACAGACCCGCTGAACTGGAAGCTCTGTCTGTTAGGTTTATTCTGACGATACTGGTGATGCTGCGCATCCTGCATCCCACTTACCAGTGAGGGAAGAGCGCAAAGACAAAAAGCCAGGCTGTGATTTCGTTTAGTGCTTTGCTCCTACAAACGAGCAGACCAGTGAAACGCGCTCTGCACAACACCTCCTTTTTACATCTTGTGCTGTTGATGTAGTCCTGTTCGGGCGGTTGGATCCACTGCGGTCCGGTGGAAAGATGCAGAGCACACGGAGGTGCAGGCGAAGTCTCGATCCTCTCTCTTGCGCGCAAACACTCGCTGTCAGTAAGGTTTTTTTTTTTTTTTGTGGTGCCTTACTCACACCGCGGCAGACTCGACGTAGAAAGGAAGGCGCTCCGGACTCTTGATGCATTTATAGGAGCGTTGAAAACTCTGAAGCTTGTCAGAGCAGCGTTTCTTCAACATCTGGATTAATGAAAATGGACATATTAACGCGAATAAGACCGTCGTATCAAACGTGGTTGCATACTAGAAAGGTTCAGTAGTGGTACCAAAAGTACATGAAAGTGACATGGAAATTTTATTATAGTCTAAATACACTGTGTATAATATAATATATTAATAAACATGATGTGATTTACTGCACATCAGAGCAGGTTTTATATATATATATATATATATATATATAAAAGAAAACCTTTTTAATGTCTTTACAACAATTCTCTGGGAAAACAGCACCGGCATTTGGAGGGCAGAGACATCAGCAACGTGAAAAGCGCGCTATGACCTCTTATCAAACAGCTTGCACTTTCACATCTGTCAAGATCTGTGAGGATTTAAAGGGTGAACAATAAGGACACTGCTGCTCCGCCTTGCCCTTTGACTTCTTGTTGATTGTAGCATTTTCTCACACATTTCCTGCACTCATCAAGACTCTAAAGTGCTCCCCTGTTCATTATGTAGTGCCAGGATTTGTCCAATCTGTATCACAAAGATAAATCACAGGCCCAACAGCAGTGGACTTAAATGTCCCTTTAAACACCAGACACTTGAGTAAAAGGTGAAGGTTGATGCGACTGCTCATGGGCGCTGTGAGGAGACATCAGAGAATGATATCCTGACATTTTCACCTCAGCCCACCACCCCACCAATCATGGCTGCGAGAAATGCCAATCTATGAGCAGCCACGGTGCTCAAAAGAGAATTGCTTGGGGAATTGAAGAACGGTGTCCCGTACAGTTGAATGGGAGGTAAATAAACTGACGGCCTTATTCCGAAGAAATCATCTGCAGTACAAAAGCATCCACAGACATGTTTAGACACAGCCTCAGGAATAACAGTGAATTAATGAATTGTACTGTAATATGCACAAAAATGTTCAGGCTGTCCATATCCTGAAAAGCATTATCACTGATGCTGCCATTCAATAGCAAGGAGGATGAGTCACCAAGGGCATCAGAGGTGTGAAGATGCAGTAGAACTGAAGACATTTTATTCCATGCCCTCTTCTTCCTCATCAGCACCTAGCTACCCACAGTGCAACCCACCCACAGACAGTTCAGCTGGATGCAGGTGAGTTACACTTGTAGCAGCAAATGTAACCTCGTGCCATTAACCTCAAGGCATAGGATACAGATGTCTGGTAGGCTCACTCCTTTCTACTGGCAGCACAGTGTTTGATTTTCAAACTTGAATTCTTCACTTGAGACAATTTAACAGACTTCAGGCTGCTCCCTCTGAAGGCAGGTGGTAGCATTTTATTAACAGCAATAAATATTACAAATATATACTTTTAAATTGTTTAAAGGATAGGGCCAGCCATTTACTATATTAACTGCAGCTTCAACACTCCCCATACAGAGACTAAAATAAAAAATGAATTGCCTCTAATCATGGTTAATATCTGTGCCAAAGACCTCCATTGTTGTCCAAACACGATTAATATCACATCATTGAAACACACTGCTTCACTGGGTGATATGTTTCTTCATTACAAAAACACCAGACTCACATATTTACAGTATTTAAAATGTTGCCCCAAAAGCTCCAAATGACTCTAACCTTTTACAGTAAGCATGAATCAGTTGCACAAGATCTTCATGCAAGGTCTCTGCTTTGTTTTCAGTTTGCTAGCTCCTCTTGCTTTCACAGAGATCTTCTGCATTAGCAGCAGCACCACAGCAGAGCCAGTCACTGCAGGGTCTCTGGGATCAACGGCGTGCCACCTCTGCCCATGCTGGAACTAGCAGGCCCACAGGAGCCGAGGGTGAGGAGCGCTTTCAAGCCTTCGGGTGTAAACTGTGAAGGCACCTTGTCATGCTGTGAGTTATTTACTTCATAATAATAAAGTTTGTTTGGTTCTGATGAGCTAAATATTGTGTTTGTGCATCATAACCAGGACTATGTTTATGCCATAATGAACTGAATGAAACTTAATCGTTTTAGAAAACATCCAAACATGTAGCATGTGAATAACTAGACAAAATTTTAACTGTGCTTAACTTTTACAAATGGCAATAAACATTACTGCCAGACGAATTTTACTCTAAACATTCTCGTGCACATGCCTGGCTGCTTTTGTGAGCATGCACAGGAATGTTAAACCCAACTCTATCTGAGGTAGCGCCCCTACTGAAATAAGTTCCCACACACATGCCTGTAAACAGATCTGTAGAATCATTGGATACATCACTAAAATTAATGATGTTTAAGGGACTGTGTGAAAATTGATTTAATAGAAGCAAGGCCCTTCCCTGCATTAAAATGATTTTCTTTGGAGCTTGGATTACACAACCCTGCCCCATTTCTGTCAGGGGCAGCTGTGGCTCCGGATGTAGAGCAGTTGTCTGCTAACCAGAAGGCTGGGGGTTAAGTTCCTGTTCTCCCCTGTCCACATGTCAAAGTGTCCTTGGGCAAGACACTGAACCCCTAGTTGCTCATGATAGGCATGGACAGTGCCACCGGCAGTGTGTGACTTGGCACCACAGATGGCTGCCTTGGTTCTACTGGAGACAAATTCCTTGTAACATACTTGGCCAGTTATAGTGATTCAAGAAAAGTAAACCCCTTCATAACTTTTATACAATCCCTAGAAATAAATTCAACATGAAAACGGAGTTTACTGAGCATGCTGTACAGAACAACTGGCTGCACAGTGTTTTTCTTATATTCTTATGAAAAAACATTAGATGACATAAATCAAACTAATAACAAAAACATGCACAAGAGCAAGAAGCATGAATCAATGCATGAACTTAATCCTGTGTTTTAGGAGAATAAGACAAGTCTGTCATGTAGTGATTAATAATACAAATGTATGTACTCTTTTCAAATAACGGTTTTACTGACATTGTCAGATTTCATATCCGGACTGTCATTAATACATTCCTGACCACTGGCCGGCTTCCAGCACGCAGCAGGCTACCCCCTTCCTATGATCTTATATCTGCTGGCCCGTTTCAAAGCTGCCCATCCAGTCAAAAGCTGTAGAAAAAGTAGCTGAAACTAACTATAACATGTTCTGAGAAAACTTCAATCAGAATCTCCCCATGTGTTAGTGCAGATTTTATCATTTTAATTATCACTTATTGGCAAAGTCTGGTCTCCCTAGACCTTTGAACCTCAGCCTGATATCTATGGACTACATTTCATCAGGCTGGGCCGACAATAAAAGAAGAACAGGAATATGCTTAACCATCTATTATTGCCTTTTTCCTTTTTATTGTATTTATAATGTGTCTTGTCTTTCACTGTTGCTGCTATTAATTATGGAAAACTCCGGCTTCCTCCCACAGCCCAAAGACATGCAGCTTAGGTTGACTGGTGACTCTAAATTGTCCATAGGAGTGAGTGTGAGTGTGTGTGGTTGTTTGTCTGTCAGCCCTGTGATAGACTGGCGACATGTCCAGGGTGGACCCCGCCTCTCACTCAATGTCAGTCACCCTTGTTGGGATAAGCGGTATAGATAATGGATGTCTGAAAAATACCTAGTATATCAAATGTATTAGAGTTATGTTAATAACAGATGGTGGGTTTTGAATCCAGTTTTGAAGTGCCTTTGAAATTGTATTTTATACACCGCAGTCAGATATGTTCACATACAAGTGTAAATGTTGATTGAGTAAACAGTCCAATTTAATAAGGATGCCAAAAGTACAAATATACTAAGTAAAGGTGGTTCAGTCATTGGAACTTTAGCTACTTTTCTACCCTTGAGAACAGTACTTGACTTTGAAATATTACCTGAAGTTTATATAAACTTGAGAAACTACATCTTAAAAAAAAGTCATATTCTAGTTTTAAAGAAGAGTTTTGTTCCTCCCAGAGGTTTGTTCTTTTGTGGTGTGCTTGCTCTGTTTTTTTTTTTTTTTTTTTTACAGCTCCAGCCTTCTATTCTCAGTGGTACAGCGTATCCCTGAACACTGCATTCAACAGCTGAAAGTACCAAATGTCATCTGAATATTTTTGCCATTTGTTTTTCTCTTGAATATCTTGTATGACTGTTTTTTTTTTTTTGTAACTACTGCTTCTTCTCGAGTTCTCGTTACATTTGGCGTTCCTTCTCGTTACATCGGCAGAGTAGAAACATTCTCTCCGTTACTGACACAGTCCGAGACTGAAGACATAAATACAGTCACTTTTAACAAAGCTCTATGCAGTGATAGATGGGCTGTCCACGTAGCCACTGAACAGCGACTGATTTCCTGTGCAGTGCTGCAGCTTAAGAGTGCCTAGAATATGAACGAGCATATCTGATGTCCTATTTCAGGCACAACCACGGACGTGTGCATCTCCTGATGTGAAATGGGTTGTTAATGGGGCATAGAAAAAATCTTAACTGTGGCTGAAAATCTGACTTGTGGAACTGGAAAATTGACAGCTGCATAGCTTTTTTTGCTCAAGCACACTGTGCTTTACTGAGAACCATCTAGTATTGAATTGCATTGGAAAGGTGGAACAAGTCAATAAAAGCAAGATGGGAAATCAGCCATATAAAAACAGATATAAATATCCTAAGAGTCTGCCACTCTCTCGCAAGAACCAACTCTGCAATGCCTTGGATTATGTTTCTATGACCACGTCAGACATGATGCAAACCATCTTGGAGTGAGAACCACTTTGTAATTAGGCAACACGGTGACGCTGCAACAGACGCTACTGACAGTCTTAAATCCTCAATGAGCTACAGCGATGTGTGGGCGGGACACGTGAGTGAGGGTGCTGATGCTGAAACGGCATGACAAGGGTACAGTCACCTCACTGTGATGTAAACAAGGGTGCGCGGTGCAGCT